TCTCTCTCTCTCTCTCTCTCTCTCTCTCTCTCTCTCTCTCTCTTTCTCTCTTATTCTCGTTCGGGTCCACGTAAATATATAAGCTAGGAGAACGTAGCTCGTTAGTCTCGTGCACTATACCGGAGACGGAGCATGTATTTTAATCTCCTTCGTCAGCTTTTTAGAGGAAAAGAGCAAACCGACGAGGTATTAAAGTTTCAACGTAATTCCATTCGAAAGGTGGATTATGTTTTCGCAGAAAACTCTCCTTTCCTCTCCTCTCCTCTCCTCTCCTCTCCTCGTTTCGTCTGGTCTCATTTCGTTTCGTCTCGTCTCGAATAGAACAAAGTCTGGTCCGTTTTCTCTTCATCGTGATTCGACTGTACGCCGACTGTGTCATGGCATAGATTATAACGAGCGATCGCGACAATAATGTGTTATAGCATATAAGTGGTCTAGACGATCCAGATGATGAGTTGTATGTATCATCGTCGTAGTTGTCGTTGACTCGTTGACTCGTTGTTGGCGGTTTTGTGCGTAAGTGTCGACGTCAGTGTCGGCCATACCGACTATTTCGCTACTTGACACGAGTACTTGGTTATCTTTGCCAAGAAACAAGTGGTTTTCCGCATTGACCGTCGTGTCCCTTCTTTTCCCTCGTATTATCTTTCATACAATTTTCTTATTCTCGAACGCGGTTCAGGAGGAACAAATTGGACCTTGTTAATTCTTCTTAGTTATTGATGACGATTTTTTTTTTTGTACTTTTTTTTTATATATATTCTTGAGAGCAGTCGTCGCACAGTTAATTTCTTCTTTCAAAGTTTCTTCTTTCTCGTTTTCTCGATCAAAGGCAACGAGTTCATTCGCCGTCTCGTTCCTTTTTCTTCTTCCACTTCCCTTATTTTTTCCATTTCCGTCTACTACCTACCTCAGTTTTTCCTATTTCCCTCCCCTTCTTTTTCTCTTTTATCCAAGTAAGTCAAGTGATGGCGGCGGCAGTAGACAGGGCCTCATTTTCAAGCCAGACGGGTACAGTACTTGTCCCAAATACGCTAGAAAGACTTTTCGTCGGCTTAAAACTGCCAGGGTACCTAGCTCCGAAATGAATCTTTTTTTCCCTTCCTTTTCTTTTCTTTTTATTTTTTTAATCTCTTTCCCCCCTCCCCCCCCCCTACCACCACCGCCCTTTCTTTACCCGTGAATCTTTATCTTAGTCTACCGAAGCTAACATTTTTAATTAACTATTCATACTATTACTTAGGAGACGCGAACGAGTTCGCGGACTAAATGGCAAATGTTTTTGGTCTCGTTTTGGGAGTAGTATCTCGTAGCTTTTTTGCGACGTTTTCAAGACTGACCGGGAAAAGAAAACTACTGCATTTACCTACCAACGAAATAACGAGTTACTCGCTTAGAAAATTCTAATCCTAGGGCATTGTACGCTGCGACGTGCTCGACGTACTCGAAATCTTTCTCGGCTGAGCTTTTTTGGTGGCTGCTGCTGCTGCTTTTAGAGATGTAGAAGGAGAAGGCGGAGGAGGAAGAAGTGGAGGAGTAGGGGGAAGGGGGAGGGGGAGGAGCAGGCGTACCACCACCCATAATTTCTCTCATTTTCCACGATGCGCTCTTCTCGACTAGGCGTTTCTTTTTCTCTTTCCTTTTAGCCAAGTAAGTCAAGTGACGGCGCCGGTGGAATAGGGCCTCATTTACAGCCCAGACGAGGGAGAACACTTGGCCCAAATACCGGCTGAAGAGAGAATGTACCCGGGTGGGTTCCACCGTAGAGCTGGTTAAAATCTGGAAACGGTTCCCTCTTGACGATAAGAATCCTTGCCGAAAGAGACACGAACCCTTTCTCTTTCTCTCTCTCTCTCTCTCTCTCTCTTTCTTTTAATCTATGATTTTTAGAAGACCTGATTCTCTTCCACCAGAGCTGAATTCTTCAAACTCCGAGATATAAGATTCGTGGTGCCTCGTGAGGATGATCCACGGAAGCGTGACCGTCTGAAAATGAAATAACCATAGTCTTTCTCTTTCTCTTTCTCTTTCTCTCTCTCTCTTTCTCTCTAATTCGAATTAGCATAAATCCCACCGGGAAGAGCGGGAAATTTATTTAAACTTTCAAGCTCGTAACTCTTCGCCGTGTCGATAAAACCCCGTTCGTTTCGAGTTTCGTTGGCTGCTGTTCTTCTTTTTAGGGGGGTAGAGGTAAAGATTATAACGAGGACGAAACTTACGATGGGTCGGGGTGGGGGGAGGAAGGAAGGAGAGTCGAGGGAACTAGCTGATACTAAAAATTTACCGAGTCGCATTCGCGGAAAAAGGTCGGGATACGATTTGCATTTTCTATCGCAGGGCAGACGACCGAAAAATCTAGTCGGACGAATACTTTGATCGTGCAAACTTGCCCAGACAGTTTATCAAGACCCCCGACGAACTACGTCTCTTGTCCAAGTAGGAAAGGATTTGCATAGATATTCAAGAACCGAGGTTCATTCTATTTTACAGCTGGCGCGTATTAGCGCCTTCCAACTCCCCCCTCCTCCTCTCGCCCTTTACACCGACGAGATTACCCCGCCCTCTTACTAACCCCAGATATCCATCCCCCACCTCCAACCCGCTTCCCCGTTTGGTGTTTCCTCTTCTTTCTTTTTCGACTCGGATTTTCGACTGCAATTTATATCGTCGTTGATTTCTCTCTTGTAATTTTGTCTATTTAATAATTTAACCATTCTCTCCTTTCGATTTGTTTATTTTTTTTGTTTTTCAGATAGCTATATCGAACAATCCAAACAAGAGCGGCTTCGGTGCGGTTGAAGCTGACTTTCCTAAGATCGAATTGGATTCTAACGTTGAGAAGAAACAGGCAAGATGGCGTAAAACACAACAACGGTACAATCAAATTATAGAATAAAAAAACTCAATTCAACTAAAACAAACAATCTTAATTTAATCCCAAAATCAGGAATCGCATTTTTCAATGATTCTCTTTATATATATATATATATATATACTTTTTTTCTTTTTTCATGAATAAAATTTTAATTAAGACAATTGTTAAATTTCTTAATATAAATAAATAATAAAAAACAACGAACGGGGTAAAAGTTTCGAATATTCATACACTTTATCGAGGAAGATCTTTTTTAATTTGTAAAAGAATACGAGAAAAAGTAGTAAAATAAGAGGAAGGTAGAAGTAGAAGAAGAAAAATAAGACGAAGAAGACGAAGAAGAAGAAGAGATCGCTTCTGGATCCATAACGAACGTAGCTTCTTCTCTAGCAGGTCCGCGCCCGTTCTCTGACGATATTTATAAAGCAAACTTGGCGGTGCAAAGACCTCGCAAGGGAGTACGAGCGAGCGAACGAGAAAGAGAAAAAGAGAGTTGGAGTAAGCTGTAAGTTTAGGCCAAGCCCTTAACTCCTTTGGCACATCAACGCTGTCTTCATAATAAACTCAGAGCACTACCGTGGATCGTTACTTTTCCGACACCGTAACAGAATCATCCGGTCCATCAAAATCTGTTACGGTCATTCGACAAATTTGTATTTTATTCCTTTTCTTGTTGTTGTTTTCTCCTAATTGATTTGTCCACAATAATTTAAATTTATCATTTTGAGATTGTAATTTTGAAAGAGAAAACATTGGAATAAATTGTAAATTTAGTTACAAACTTTTAATCCCTTTTAAATCAAAGACAACGAATTTATATACGTCGTGATACTATGAAGAAGACGATACAAGTTAATTTAAACGCGATAAATTATTCGTTTTATCTTGATTTTTTATTTGGTATTATTATTGTTTAGTAATCCCGTTAGATCACTTTTCGTATTTGATATTATTACAACTTGGTTTCTCACTCAAAAGATTTATTTTTTTGGCACAACAACTATTGTCTGTATAATAAGCTTGGAACACTACTGTAAATTGTTATTTATTTGGCATGAGACTTAGACATTATACAAAAGTAATCATCCGGTTCATGAAAACCTGTTACGGTCATTGGAAAAGTTAACATTCTTTCGTCGAGAAAGATATTAATACCTTTCTCAAAGGCTGCCATCGAACGGCAGGTCGAGTATTAATATCCTTTGCGTAGGACGGGGCATTAAAAGTGTGAATAAAACACTTACTATTACTTGCTTTTTTTTTGTTCCTTTTTTTATTTTTTTTTAAATAATACAACATTAATTTCGTTGCAACCATTTCTGAGTTATTTTCAGCGTGTCTCTTAGCGCATCGTAACTCCTGTTGTTATATTTTTGTTCAAAGCAAACAATCCGACTAATTTCTCGTGCATTTGCATTTCATGACGTATCAAATGAGTTCTTTTTTTTTTTTGTACAGAGAAAAGAATCCTAAAATTTTATGTTTTCATTACATAAGCGTAGAGATACTATATTTTGTTAGGTATTTTTTAAATATTTTTGTAAAAGGAAAATAAATTATTGTTCGCATCGGTGCAATATTTTAAATTAATTAATTAAAATATTTCCAATTAAAGTATATACTTAAAAACTTGTCCTAATTGTTCGTTATCCAAAAGCATACAGTATATTAAACATTATCCAATTTCTTTTTAATACTAACCATATTATTAATTTGAACGTGCAAATATTTAAGCTTTGTCGTTATAACGATGAAGTATTCGTATATTATTCTTTCAACGAGATTTGGAGAAATTAATTGGTAATTTAGAGATTGAAATGTTGACAAATGGAACATAGTTGTTGACCTATGCTTGGATTTTATTCGTTCTCGCAAGAGTAATAAGATATGTCTCGTAGTAGTAGGTAGAGACAACGCATACCGTTTTTAATGAACTTGCTGGAAGTCATGCGGCTGCCGGGGCCTCGTCCGCGAAAATTAATGAAACCGGGGACGCGCGAATACCGTTTTCTCGCGCGAATGCTAGTAATCGTGTGTTTCTTGCTTGCCGGTGCGCAGAAAAGCCATAAAGTTGCTTGACAAATGGCAGGAAGCGGCGCGTTGACAGCCTCGACGAAATGGATTGGACGCTTTAATCGTCGAACTCGGTCACTTTGTTAATGCCTTCAAGTTCTTTACTTTATTTTTTAATTAACCACCTTCTACTTCTTCTTCTACTTTTACTTCTTGTTATTATTTTCTCAGAATAATGAATTAGGGAAACTATAAAGTATATTGGTTTATATTTTTCTCCGTTTCAACCGCTAAAAACTGCCATTAAACTAACCGTATCGAACTCATCTTATCGAATCTCTTCCAACTAACAACTAAAATCATACGATGATGTTATTTTCGTTCGCGTTTAAAGTACCACGTGGACAAGTAGAGTACTACTACGTCTTTGGGTCGAGTGGAACGTTCTGCGGTACTACAAAAGAATCTTCAGCCACTGTTCAAAGGCTCATCGTGCAAGACTAGGACAACTAACGAGTTAACCGTCACACAAATCATAGTGGCAATAGCTCGTACGCACAATGGATGTATAACGTGGTTTTAGAATAAGATAGATAGGAAGGGAAGGAGAAGTACAACAAGTCTTTAAGGAAATCAAATAAAATAAAAAAAAAATAAAAAAAAAAAATAAAATGATCAGACGATCGGTTGGCCGGTCGTCATTGTCGTCATCATCATCGTCATCATCATCATCATCATCATCATCATCATCATCATCATCATCGCTGTTGCCATCGTCTCGGATCCCCGCTTCTGAGCGCTGCAATGCGTAGGCGGTTAAGTTACCGCAGGCGGTGCATCATTCCACGGATTTACTTGGCGGGTGCATTAATCGGGCTCTTATTCGAGCCAACTTCTTTCTCTTTTTTTTTTTTGTTGTTTTTTTCTTCCCTTCTTCCCCTTCCAGCCGACCCAAAGTCAACATCTCCGAAGGAAATTACGCGAGAATTTACGAGGCACACCGATGCACAAATCTGCGATAATAACTGCGCATACGTTGGAGGAACGTACATCTATCAACGAAACGTCCTGGAGACGTAGATCCTTCTTCTTCTTCGTAGTAGTAGTAGTATTAGTAGTAGTAGTCGTTGCAGTTGTTGTCGTAGTCGTCGACGGTCGAACTTATGACTTTGATAACAACACCGATGACGGTATGATTTATCGACGAAGATTTTCCGAATCTCTTACGGGCATTTTCTATCTCTTTTTATTCTCTCTTTCCATCCTTTCTCGATCATTATTATTATCATCATCTACGCGAAGAATTTCTAATTTTTCTTATAACATTATTTTTTTTTATATTTCAACAATACGATTTAACGTATTAAAATGAATTAAAAGTTCGTGCGTTTATTGCAATATTGTGCAATTTTTTGAAGTGAATACAATTATTTTCTATATGCAAGTGAAAGATTCATTTTAAAAAACGAAAACGAACTTTTTGGTTTACCCTAATATTATACTTTTGAGAAAATTCATTGAAGATCGTTTATATTATTATATTATCGATAAATTTGATGAAATATATGTTACCGGCAATGTATGAAAAAAGGTCCTGATATGGCTATTACATAAATAACGTGCATTCCTCAAAAATATAAATGTGTTATTTTGAAAAAAATCAATATTTAATATCTTCTTCTTCTTCCTCATTTTATTAGGACTTTGTCCTGTTATAATAGCTTTTTTTTATTGCTATTTCTAGGAGCGATATATATATATATATATATAA